CTGCTGACAGCAATGCACTGACAGAAGGGGAGGAAGAAAGGAAGGAAAATGCAAAGGCAAGTAAAAGCATGGAGAGGAGGGGGCAGCAGAAAGAAAGATGACAAAGTCTCAAGTGGCAAGTGTGTTTCTTCCAGGGCACCTTGGGAGACATGCAGTCCAGCCATCGCCATTCCATGTACAGATGCAGTGGACCTTTTGATCAGGGAATAAGAAGTGACTCATGTTTCTGGTATCTGCTACGTAACAACATTGGGGGAATTCCTTGGCTCACTGACAGCAAAAGAGGAAAGCCGAATCAATGAGGTAACAGTAGATTGCTTTCTACTGCCTTCCTAGGAATACACAGTCATCCTGGATGTCTTTAGCATCTCACCGCTTCTGAACATTTAAAGGGATCAACATCATTTACAAAGTGAGTAAATACAAAGCCTTTCATAATTTGCTTGCCAGCTAATGCAAAACTGTATTTTTTAGACTTGGGAGAAAATCAGATCGTTGTGGCATTTGGTGTACATAGACATGTGGAGAACAGCCGAGGGGGGTGGGGAGCAGCTAATTGCTGGTTATGTTTTAAAAGGGATTATGAAAAAAGACAGAGAAACGATCACAGGAAAACAGTCTGGATCACAGCCAAAATCAAAGATGAGCAAGGCTGGAGTGCCTGAGACGGCACCAGCTGTTTCTGACAGCTCTTGGATGGGGTTTCTTGGTATTTCCTATGGATGGCAAAGCCCCTGGAACCAGGGAGCTTTCTAGAAAGGAGCATGGTGTCAAGAACTGAAGCTGGGAGAAGATGGCTAAGTAATGATTAACTGGAGGTTGCCGAAAACCCTTTTTGGAGCCTCAAGCAAATTCAGAGAGCAAGAGAGCACAAAAGATAAGAGTCTTAAAAATTAACCATTCAACAACAGAAGTAGACATTTTTCCATCTCCTGAAGACACCATGACTTTTCAATACAGGAAGGCTGGATTAGTTAACTTCACTTTTGATAAAGGATCTAGGAAGCCTAGACATACATTCTGTACCAGCTGGACTGAAATGTATAAATTCTTCCTGGAATCAAAAGGGGAGGAAATACTCCAAATGCCTCCCCAAGCAGGGAACTGCAATACTGTTGTTCTGCATACACACAGAAAAAATAAGCTTTCTGATGGAATGTGAACTGGCTATCTTCCTTCCAGTCTCTGTTCAACATGGCCATTTCAGAGCAGGACAAAGTAAGTCTCTTCTTCAAGGTCTTAGTCTCTCTTCATCATGGCTGTATTTTATCCCATCAAACTCTGTGGTGGCTCAGAAGAAAAAACAGTGTTGTCTATGCAAGCAGGAATCTTTGGGGGCATGGGTGAGGGTTAAGGCGGCAGCAGCATCAACTAATACAATAGACCTTTGAACATTTCATTCTTGAACCATCTTCCAAAAGCTGTATATGTGGCATTGTGTATGAAAAGAAAGAGAGCACAAGATAAGCAAAAAGCAGGCAGGTAAAATGCTTGGGCATTTCCGTAGTCATTATCAAGCATAACTAGTCTGGTTGTAAGCTGCATGCTGTGGAGTGCCTGCACAGACCTGATTGGCATGTTAAACCGAGAGTGCTTCAGTAGCATACTAACCAAGTTATGATAAACCCAGGCAATCAGCAAGTGGTAATCTTCCCTGCTCTAATGTGTCAGAGGCAGACTCACAGCTACCGGTACTTTGTTCCTTTGTTAGCCTCTTCTGCATTGAGATTTTTGCTTTCCTGATTTTTAAAAAAGACTGGAAGAGAAGGTTGTACAGTGGTACCTCGGGTTACAAACGCTTTGGGTTACAAACTCTGCTAACCTGGAAGTAGTTACCTTGGGTTATGAACTTTGCCCCAGTATGAGAACGGAAATCGCACGGCAGTGGCGTGGCGGCAGCAGGAGGCCCCCATTAGCAAAAGCGCACCTCATGTTAAGAACAGTTTCAGGTTAAGATCGGACCTCCAGAACAAATTAAGTTCGTAACCCGAGGTACCACTGTACTTCCAATAGCTATAATGAAAACAAACAAGCTCTCAGAACAGGTGGAGCAGACAAAGCATGGCAACAATATCCAAAAGAGACCTTTGCTGTGTTGGAAGTCAAGCCAAAGTTTGTTCATTTGTTTTATGTCCCACCTTCCCCCTAGTACAGGACCCAAGGTGGTTCACAACATGAATTTAAACAAATACAATGAAAACCACACTAATCAATATAATTATTATTTTTTACAAAGTTAGTCTATTAAAACAGCAGTGAATCCAAACACTTAAAAACATTTTAAAATGTAACAGCAAAAAACAAATAAACAAAACCATACAACACCCTGCCACAACAGCCAGTTAGTAGAAAAAGTCCTCTCTAAACAAAAAAGTATTTACCGGCCGGCAACAGGAAAGCAGAGAGGTGGCCAGCCTAATCTCCCATGGAAGTGAGTTCCACAGTTTAGGAGCAGCCATTGAAAAGGTCCTCTCTTGTATCCTCACCAAATGTGCCCATGAAGGTGGCGGGACCAAGAAAAACCTCAGAAAATCTCAAAGCTTAGGTAAGCTCATATAGGGAGATACAGTCCTTCAGATAACATGGACCCAAGCTGTATAGGGGTTTGTAGGTCATAACCAGCACTTCTAATTGTGCCAGAAACAGACCATTAGCCAGTGGAGCTGTTGTAACAAGGAGTTTTTGTTCTCCTTGTAACTGGCTCTAATCAGCAATGAAGTCATAGCATCTTGGACCCACTAAAGTTTCTGAACCCTTTCCAAAGGCAGCCCCACATACAGCACACTATAGCATAGCTGTCAACTTTCCCCTTTTCTTGCGAGGAATCCTATTTGGAATAAGGGAATTTCCCTTAAAAATAGGGAAACATTGACAGCTATGCACTATAGTGATATATATGGTGTGTAACTAAAACAGATATCACTGTCCCCAGATCAGACATCTCCAGGAACGGACACAGCCAACACACTAATTATAAATGTGCAAAAGTTAAGCACTTTTCTGTTCATTTCAATGTGAGAACTTATATCTCTCATTAAAGTCAATTAAACTTAGAAGTGCTTGACTTCAGCTGAATTGTAATGCCATTTTTTCACAGAATAAGATCAAACATATTTACTTATTTATTTGTTAAATTGGTATCCTGTATTTCCACCAATTGCTGCTTAAGGTGACCTGCACAGTCCATCATCGATGGCCAGACGTCAGCTGGTATAGGAATATATGACTTGACAGAAACAGAGAGTATGCACTGTTAGATAAATCTACTTTCCACAATTGGTCAACACAAAATTTATAAATGATCCCTCTAAAATGATCTCTTTATAGCATAGTTGTGAAAAGAATGACATTAAATATGCACCAAAGCTGAGACTGCATCTCATTTATCTCAACTGCAGTATGGACACTGGTATGGATTCACTGAGTGTTGTTGGATGTGCATTTATCACACCAAAAGCCACATCTTTTTATTTGCTTTTTCTTCTGTCTTTCATTACCTTGAAGTATCACGCAGTTGAATTTGGTTTCATGAAAATCTGAATATTTATGACTGGATGAGACAATTATTTGCATTGGTTAGGAGAGTTTTAAATGTTTGCCCATCTAGTTTTCAACATTCTTCTGCCATTAGTAATCACAGTTAATGATCTTCATTTTGAAATCTGAAAGGGCAATTGCATCCTGTTGATCCTGTTAGATCACGATGTGTTTGTAATTTGTCTGGGGGAACTAGTATGAGTTGGAGGAGCTATTCTAGCACACTACCACACATTTCTGTCAGGAAAATCAAATAGGATTATGTTGAATAACTGTTCATCTCCTCCCATTCCCATCCAAGTGTTTCTACCTGGTCCCCCCACCCTGTTCCATACAAGAATAAGAAGAAGAGTTTTGGATTTGATATCCTGCCTTTCACTCCCTTTAAGGAGTCTCAAAGCGGCTAACATTCTCCTTTCCCTTCCTCCCCCACAACAAACACTCTGTGAGGTGAGTGGGGCTGAGAGACTACAGAGAAGTGTGACTAGCCTAAGGTCACCCAGCAGCTGCATGTGGAGGAGCGGAAACACAAACCCGGTTCCCCGGATTACGAGTCTACCGCTCCTAACCACTACACCACACTGGCTCTCACCACACAAGGGACTAGATGAAACCTTGGAGAAATTCTGGAGTGCAGTGTCACTTATTTATGTAATCACATCAAGTGCTACATGTTTTTCATCTCACTCAGGCTATGCAGTACTGCTGCCTCCCCAGTTTGGTCATGATGGATATCAGATGCAAGATACTTGGAGTTGAACCCAGACAAGTTTGAAGTTGTGATGGTTGGCATAAATCTTGTGACTTGGAAGGGAATAGTCTTAAGAACGCTTGTGCTCCTACTCACCACATTCTAAAAACAAACATTATTTTCAAAAACTGTCAACTGTAATTTGTCCTATAATCATTTAAAAAAGAGGTTTGTTCCCTTCATCAACAATAGTTTGATTTCCTTTGTTTCAAACTAGCATCTTCTATGTACCATTTCCCACAATTTCTGAACTAATCTAATCTAAATGGGATTTCTGTGATCTGCTATTCAGCTTTGAAGCAATCCCATTTTTGCTCCATTCAACCTGCACACCCAACATAGATGGCTTTAAGCCCTTCTGTTTCACAGCCTTGAATGCTTCTGAAACTGAAACTGTATCTAGGAGTCCAGGATTCAACAGCTACCAGATGTTTGTTTCAGAAATTACTCTGTCTTCTAAGAAGGCTACACATTTTGCCTTTGCTTAGCACCATGAACATTCCAGAGGCCAAAGAAACCTGTGCTTGAAAACCACATAGATGTTCCTCCTGTGCAAGTCAATACATTTATGAAGGTAGCAATCCAAAATAGAATTTTTAGAATGCTTAGGCAGCAGTCTTTTGCACACTTACTTGTAAGGCCAAATGATCTCAGTGAGACTTACTTTCAAGTATATATGCACAGGATTACAGTTAGTGTACATAAATCTTACCTCAACAAGCCATTGAGACAAAGCTGTGGCAACAGCATGGCACTGCTCAGTTGAGGAGAGGAACTCTTCTTACCCCTTATTGAAGATGGTGGAAGTTCTTCCCTTTCATCACCTGTACAAATAAAAAGGAGATCAGTGACATTATTCTGAATAATTGGCATTTGCCATGAATTAGCATTACCCTGATATCCCTTGGTGCTAGTGTCAGTCATCTTCCACCCTGAATACTCCTTGACCTTCACTTGGGTGGTTTTCTTCAGTCTTTCTGTTTTTCTTTATTTGGTTTTTCCAGCATCTGCCTAAGAGGCAGTGCTTTTTTTCTTCCTAAAAAAATGTTTAGGGGTACTCTCATTTTCCTACTCATATTGAAATACTGCCCCTCAATGAGGCCAAACTTTGATTCACAAAATGTTTAGGGGTATGCGTACCCCTGCGTACCCCCAGAAAAAAGCACTGCTGAGAGGTATTAATATTAACAAAAATAGCTTCCAGATGGGTAGATGTAGCCTGTAGCTTTAGCAGGAAAATCAACAAAAAGTATTGTGGCACCTCAAAATCAGACATATTTTATTATAGTATAATAATATAATTTGTTAGGTTTTTAAAGTTTATTTTTATTAGTTTTCAAGAATCACAATTTAATAATATATCCAACTAAAGGCAGGGCATAGAAAAACTAAGCATATTAAATAATAACACCTAATCTAAGATCATGATATTCATATTTCTCTAGATGGAGTAGGAAGAGATACCTAAGCCTGAAACCAAACTTGTTAGTTTTCAAGGTGTCACAAGATTCTTCATCAATTTTACAAAAACTGCTTTTCTTTTTTCTGATTTTGAACACATAACTACTTAATTTGTAATCCTTTCCAGTAGTTTCTTTTTAAATCTCCCTTCCTTTCATATTATGTGCACTGCAGCAAAGTTATCCATGTATACAGCAGGTATAATATATCTGGCTATATGGAAATTCAATTCCCCCCCCCCCAAAAAAAATTAAGCAGATCCTCCAAATGCAAATAACAGCTAGATTATCACAAGAGACAGAAGTGTGCATGCACTATAAACAGGTCAGGGTATGACATACGAAGTCCACAATGGGCCAAGGACAATATTTTAACATCAAAATGTTAAAGATGTTAACAGTGATTCAGGGGTTTAAGAAGACCCAAAGACTGTGTACTGGCATAGCAATTGGCAGTGGATTATTACTTCCAGTTGTAAGTTACTACAGTATTCCTCTGAATATCAGTTGCTGGGAATCACAGATGGGGAGACTGCTGATAACCTCAGGTTTTACTTGCAGGCTTCCCACAGGTATCTGGTTGGCCAGTGTGAAGAAGGATGCTCGACTTGATAGCACTTTGGCCCAGTCTAGCAGGGTTCCTCCTATGTTCTTATGCCTTGGGGCTATAAAGCTGAAGAGAGGTGCACTCTAATGTCTGCCACCAGCCAGGAAACCAAGGACGGTTAGGGAGTTGCCTCTTAAGAAGAACATCATGACAAGGGGTAAATCAGCAAGATCCTATTTATCAACCAGTGACAGAGCAGCTGATCCAGTAACTGCTTTCACCTTCTAATTATTTGATATTTTTACAGTGATTAGAAAATTTTAAATGTTTTATAAGTATTATTTGCATTCCCCCCCCCCTTGTATCTCATTATGATCCTGTTACTTTTCTCTGTGCTGGCTACCTATCACCTGCTTCATCAGCTTAAAGCTATCAATCCCTTATAGTTTTCCAAATAAAACTACAAGGGGTGTGTGCAGCCAGGGGTGCCAACTTGAATAAAATATGTGGGGGGGGGGGTAAGCCCTGCCCCACATAATCAATCGCCTGATGAGGTGCACCCACACTATTTGAATGGAAATGCCCATCACCTTTGAGGGGGAACCTGGCCCCTTCAAATATTTTATGGGGGAGGGGGGCAAAGGGACATCGGCTCCTAGGAGTTGGCTCCTATGAGTGCAGCTAACCCTATATTTTTGATGCAGTTATCAAGGCAAGGCAACAAAAAAGTGGTATAGGAAAGAGGCAGGAAGTAGCATGAAGACATGACTGAAAGACAAAGCTGAAGCAGAAAGGGACAGTAGCTTCACTAATGGGGAGCCTGCTTGACCGGGGAAATCAGGTCCTTTCCCATTTCCCTAAAAGTCAGTGGAATGGCATTCTTTTCATTGACCTGCATGGAGGAAGGGAAAATTGCCACCTTGAGGAAGGAGAGAATAAATCTCAATGCACCTCAGACCCTGCTAAAGACTAGTTTCTGGATCAGTCTCAGTCCTTCCAGTTATGAACCCACACCTTTCTGTCCCTTATCCTTTCCACTCAAAAGCTCCTCTGCTTTCAGTCTGTTAAACTTCCTCACCATGATGCTCTACTGTATATGGATGGAACAAGTTCCCCCTCTTTATATGCCAAGTCACTTTTCACTCTTCCTTCAGCAAAGTCACACATCTTCTGCTCTCTTTGCTATTAGGCTACCCACCTCTGCCTCTTCTATCTCTTTCTCCCTCATCCAGCCACTTGTCCTTCTTCCCCATGAAATGGGAAAGGCAGCCAAGAAGAGGAGCTCTGGAATCTTCATGTTGCAAAAATGCTGGCAAAGAGCAACTGCTATGGAAGCTTCTGCTGCCAATATTCCAATCTGCTTCTTCAAGGCTGCAACATGTCTCCCTGTTAAGTCAATCTGCACCCACAGGGAGTGGATTTTCCATTCACTCCTTTGCTCCCTTGATCTCTCCATTCAGACACAAGATGATCCCACAAGAGGCCCATCTGCAGCCTTATAAAACAAAAAAATGTAGGTTGCAGAATGAGCAAAAATCTCTCCTCCAGGCTCCACCCCACAGCAGTTATGAGGCTTTCAGACCCAGCTGTCCCTGATGAGTCGGAAGCTATCTTCCCATGTTATGATGAACACACAAGAGGAGAAACAGGATTGCACCCACTGTCTTCCTCAATTCCACCTCTTAAACATGCCCCTAATATCTGAAAGAGATGGTGCACATACAAACTGCATGTGTGATCAGGAACACTGACTTTTTCAAGGTTCATGACTGAACAGACATAACTACACGGTGCCAAATGCATGTAGGAGTGAAGCAAGGGCAGCAGCCACATTCTTGCCCCTCTTTCTATTAATGTTTATTGTAAGATACAGGGCCGTCTTGAGCATATCTGGCACCATGGTGCAAAGCTCCTTCCCGCCCCCTGCCCCAGTTTCCCAGAGTTGTCCACCTTTTTTTAGGGAGGACGGCGCTGCCGGCAGGGCTGGAGGAGGTGGGCAGCGGCTGGAGGGTGGCTCCTCTGGCGGAGAAGAGGCGGAGGCTGGACACAGTGCCTCCCAGCTCAGTTGGCAGCTTCGTGCCGCAGTGGCCATGGCAGACGGAGGCTCCGGGCGCGGCGCTGCTTCGGCGCGGCATGGCAGAGGTGGGCGAGGGCAGCGAGCTGATGTTGGGAGGCCTCTGCCTCTTCCCTGGCGCCTTCCAGAACTTGGCGCCCTGGCGCCCTGCACCACTAGCCTCTATTAGTAAGACGCCCCTGGTAACATATTAATAGGGTTCTGGTTGTGACATAGCCTTTGGTACTCTGTTCAAAACTGACATCGTATCATCACCTGACCAATGTTTAATTACAGATTACTGTATCCCATCCCATCCCATCTGTTTCCCAGGTGAACCTGGGAAATTATAAGCCTATGATTTGAGTCCATGTTGGCTATCACTTACACCAAACATGCAGGTTCACCCTGTGATAGGCTGTAAGGAGAGCTGGAATGTGTCTACCTGATGCTAGAAACAGAGCCTCCTTCAACCTGCTCCATATATTTGTATGCAGTACAGCAGCTACAAAGACATCCTTGTATGCTTCTGATCCTTATACCACAAGCATACTAGAGCTATGAGCCTGGCCTATAAAATCACATGGTGGTTTTAAGAAATTAAATTATTTCTTTATGTTATATTGAACGTTACCATGGCCCCAGAGAGGCTAGAAAATGTGTTTATTTACAATTGGAAGCTAAGAGAAGCTGGGACTTTCCAAAAAGCACCAAGGAGGATTGAACAAGTCTTCAACAAAAACATAAGCAATAGATGCTGCAGAGAAGCACCTGGGCTCTGTGCCAGCAAAAGGCATCTGCAACATACAACTGATGTACTCTATGGTGGGCTAGTCCAATAAAATATGCACAACTTTTAAGAGTCAAACATTTCCTTGTTTTAGCTTTGCATGCTGCAGTAAGGCGTGTGGAAGAAAATCTTGAAAAACTGGCAATAGCCTCGCTATCCATGTCCATTTCCCTTGCTTCACATTATAAGGCTTGAAGTAATCTATTTTTTGTGAATCCATTTTGCAATTTCAGCTCACATCTCTCCATAATGATAATTCCACCCCCAGGCACAAGAATCCAGAACTACCTTTACACTGAATGCACAATTCACACAATACAGTTGTTGTTTTTTATTTTGTTTTTTGCTGTTCTCAGAGGATGGGACAACTTAAACAGCAAACCCTGACCACATCCTTAAACCCAATCCAGTTGCTTCAGGATAACTCACCTGTGTGCAGGCCCAAGATGAGAGTCATGGAAATATTTAGCCATCTTAAAATATTCTAAACATTTGTACTCCAGCTTGCGAAACAGAATCTTCACAAGGCAACTTACAACCAGATTTTAAAACACAGCACAACAGTAATCTAACTAGAACTAAATGCAACCTACACAATGAGAACCAAGACTGCAGCAGAGGGAAGCAAAACCCTCAGCAGAGAAGACATGATGAATAGATAGATGCAGACCACAGAGTGTGTGGGTACCAGCAACATCCTATGAATGGCAAGAAAGGGAGGGGACAGCATGGCCACAGAAGAACCCCACTGGTACTCAACTCCTAGGATAACTCTTTGCAAACTGACAAGCAGCCAACCCCTCTTCATCCTTCCAGCTGTCCTGCATGTGAGACTGTCTAGGAGGCCACACTGAAAAGCCACGGCATCTGCCTTTGTCTTGCTGCATGCCCACATACTGAGGAGCCTGTTTGTGTCTAATCACAATTAGCACCATGCCCAATTCCATGCCCTGTGCTAATTCAAGAGGAAGAGCATGTCATTCCCTGCCAAGAATTACAGCTAATCGCCAAAGGCTCTGTGGTACGCCTGCTTTGCCTTTCATTAGGCTTTTGTTTCTAATGGCAAAGCTGGTGGTCTCCTTTTTGCTAGAAATCACCGTGGCATCACTGAAAAATGCCAGCACCATCTCAGATTGCCTGAGGACAAATGTAGTGCCTGTGAGTGATAGCAAATTTCCCCACCACCGCTTAACACACAACAACAACAACAACACCAATAACAACAACAACAACAACACACACAATATGCTCAACAGTCAACTCAGGGGTCTGCCAAAATGTTCATATTACAGCCCTGCAGCCCAAATGTAATGTGAAACTGGCAGCTGCATTAAAGTCTCAGGAAAGTGCAACGCAAGAATCAACTCTGTCCCTATATTTGTCCCTTTGAATTTCTTTGTACAGTATAGTTAAGAGCAAAAATGCAGACTAAATACTTCTGACAAAATAGAACACATTATAAATATACAAAAGGAGGGCAATGCAAATGAAACAGCCCATGCTCTTTGAATGACCCTTGAGGCCAGACACACACATACACCCCGCCAAGCAGTACAAAGACTGTTCCACTCATGAATTCTCAGTGCAGAAGAGTGGCCACTGGAGGGAGGGAGAGTCCTCCAACTACTCACATCTCCCATTAGGCCTAGGTATGGTAAGGAAGGACCTCCTCCACGTTGTTCTGTAATTGGAGCAATCCAGCACCGAGAGACACATTTGTCTGCCATAACTCACTAGGTCAGCTAATCTACTTTTTAAAATACCGTAGCTTTTTGGATGCACATTATGAAATACAGAGCCTGTAGTCATAACTCGAATAATGCCAAATATTTCAGAATGAAGATTCTTAAAAGTGTGCAAAAAGACCATCATAGCACTGGCAAAGTGAGTGCCACAAGTGATAGGGTCTTTCTGAATTTGCTCTGCACTAAAGAAACCCAATCTTGCAATAACTCCAGGAAACGTTGTGGAAGAGCAAATTAGATTGCTAAGGACATCACCCAAGTGTTATAAAAAGCTAGGATAAATGTGTTTGTTCATTTATTTACATAATAGCAGTTTACTGCTAATTTTTTACGATGATGATAATTCATAATGTATTAGTAGATGTATAATCATACAACTGTTTGTTTGTTTGTTTGTTTGTTTGTTTTAATAAGTGGCATCTGTACAACACTTAACTTGTTTCCTGCTCAACCTTGAAATCCTTTCAAAACAGTGACACCCCCTTTTGCGAAAGATACAAAAAGTTTGAAAAGTAGCAAGTTCATCTTGGCAAAAACTGCTCCCCCAACACACACTCCACAAAACCTGGGAATCTGGCTAACTGCTTCGCCTCCACCCCTTGCTCATTCTGTGATGTCTGAACTAAGTATGAAATAAGAATGCAGCAGATTCAAGCCAACTGCAAATCCGATAGGGGGAGGGTAGTGGTGATGAAGAATGCACCACAGCCCCTTGGGATAACATGGTGATTTTAAACTCCTGGCTTTTCTTCCATTTGGCTGTATCATTTATATTCCCTGACCCAGCAAAAGCAGTTGGTTCTGCAGTCTGATTAAAGGAACTGGGCATTTGATCTGTAATTGTTTTTCAATGGCTGTATCTTCTTCTGTGTTATTGCTTTACACGGCTTGCCTTTGTACAATATTGAAAATCAATAAAAGTACAAAAATGTATTTTTTCCCCTCCTCTTAAAAGTGAAACAATCTTGTTAAGATTCTGCTGCAGACACTTTGCAATGGTAGTACCCCCCTTTTTAAAATAGCACTTTTAATGACAATCCCAGACAGTATGGAAACAGCCATGGCACAAATGCCCTTAGTCATGGCATTCAATCCAATCTGAGAACAGTCTTTGGACTGAAGCCTATCATGGCTCAGGGCTCAACCACACTTCCACTTGCCCCAGGCCTAGAAAGCATGGGTCTACTTGACCTGCGCCTTCTAGGCATGGGTCCAATCAGTTTTGGTTGGTCCACTGCTTTCCCCAGGAAAGCCTGCTTTTTACCGCTGAATCGGTACAAGTGGAAGTGGAAGTGTGGCAGGAAAAGTGGAAGTGTGCATAGGATACATCAACTAGCTAAATCCAAGGTAGGTATCTGAGAGGCTCATCTCCCTACTATGTTCATGGCATTCCCAAAGTCATTGCCAGCCACTTGCTGGAAAGCCAAAGTGTTTCAAGGTTTTACAGACCTGAGGCCAAGAACTGCTGCAGCTTAGTGCCACAGCCCCCCAACTGTACTTATTTAAGACGCGCCAGCACTTGTTTGCTCATAGGGTGTTTTGACTGCAAATATCTGCATACTGTTGGAAGCTAATATAACAACTGCTCCTATCTGAATGGCCAAATACTGTTTCGATAGAGAAGTTTCAGTACAACTTCCTAGAAACCATCAACATGCTCTGAGACCAAAACTAGTGCTTTTGCTCAAAATGCAGGAATTTCCAATGAATATTATTCTGAACATTTTAAATTTTCACTTCCTTTTTTGTTTAAGTAGAGAATTGAAGTGCAAAAGTCACCTACCTCAGCTACATAATTTACCCAGCTAAATTTGCTGCAAGCGTTACCAATGGCAGATTTTATATATATATATATATATATATATATATATGTGTGTGTGTGTGTGTGTGTGTGTGTGTGAGAGAGAGAGAGAGAGAGAGAGAGAGAGAAGCAAACAAGAAGCCCAAACCCAAATTCAGTGATTGGCTCCTCAGTTTCCTTGATAACTAGACCATCTACACTTCTCTCATCTGGCTTTAAGGGAACACGGGAAAGGGCATTTGGACTGTTTTCCTGTTCCCTCCCTATCCCCTTTTAATTCTCTATTATATTATAAACCTGAGAATATGGTCTAGGCTGTTTTCTTAAAATCTGTACAGTGCCTTAATACCAGGGCAGGAAAGGGGGAGCAGTGCTGAAAGGAGTATCAATGGGGTGCCAATTTGATGGGGTCCTCAATTCCTGTAAGTGTGAAACCAAATGCTTCCTGGTGCTAAAAAGGCACCCCTTCCTCCTCCACTACTTACCACTTGTAGGCTTCAGCACCCACTTGCTCACCCAGCCTCCTGGAGGCCTGGCACATTGTGGGGCCTAGCTGGAAGCTGAGAGTGGCCATCCTGCTGCTATTGTTGCTGATGGAAGGTTCCAGAAGAGCCAAACAGCTGCCTATCCTTGCTTTGGTCCCTTGAGGCCCGGCAGGGTGTCCTTCAGGGGGCAGAGTCCCTTCATGGAGCAAGGCACCCAAAGTCATTAATCAGGAATAACAAACCCCACAAGTCCTGTTTCCTCAGAACTGAACGGAATAATTACCAAGTTGGTGTGGGGTGATGTGAGAGAGCGGCCATATTTCCCATCTGCTTAAGCAGCCTGAGGGAGGGACTCGAGGAGGAGGAAGGGTTAATGTGTACTATGGCGGGTGCCACTATTCTGTGTTAAGCCCACAGCCCAGAAGTTGGAGCCAGGCTGGAGCCAAGCTGGCTGGCTCCCCAGCCTGCCCCACCAAGAGAATTGCCTCAGGAGGACAGAGAGCTTCTCCCTCCTCAGAGAGCAGCTCTTGGACCTTGAAGGGGGAGGGAGCCTCTATTGGCTCTTCTCCTTCAACCCTCCTTCCCATTGGCTCCCTGGTATGTCTGTTTCGGATAAGAGGTGGCCCACTTACCTAGGCCTTGTTAGTTTGATTTACCCCTCCCTTGCTTGAATTCCTCAAATCCCAGCAGCCTTTTACAACAGCCTGACACAGATAACATGGCTGCAGTTATTTTATTCCTTTGATAAAGGTAAAGAGCAGCAAATCTGTATATTTAATAACAAGGAAAGAGAGAAATGGTTTCTGCCTTATTCCTACCACTTCTCCTTGCTTTGAGCCAAACAGTCTCTTCTATCCTTCCTCCACTGTTTCTGCAGTTGGTGTGTAGAGTTGTGTCTGGCCAAAGGCAGTGTGTGTGTGTGTGTGTGTGTGTGTGTGTGTTTCTGAAATATTTAGGGATTTTTTTAATTTAAAAAAGTGTGGTAATTTGCAGTACCTAAATAAGAGAGAGCCCAATGGACAGTGGAGAAATAAATGAATGCCTACTAATACCAGGCCCCATCTTTCAAAATTTGAGGAAAAAGAGATATGAAATTGCCCTTTTAGCTAGGAATTAATTTAGTGAGGGACGTGTAACCTTACAGTAGCTTTAATCTGGGTATATCTCGGAGAGATTTTTAAAGTTTACTTTGTCTACTAGGCCTGCAGTCTGAGCCAATCTGTATTTACAGTACTTGGAATGAGTAATGAGAACAATGAGACTTGCTCCCAAGTGTGCACTGGATTGCAACTTTACTGTGCAATTTGGGCCCCGAGTCTTCCTCCCACCCCACCTAACCATCCCAATTCACACTATTATTTCCTAAGGATTTCTCACAAGATCCAGACATTCTCTTATAAAGTGAAACAACTCAGACTGCTGGTAAGCTTCAAATCTGTCACTCAGCCAGGAAGCTTGCTGAGTTGATCCTGAGTCATTTACCACATCTTAGCCTAACCTACTTCACCAGGTTGTTGTGAGGGTAATATTATTTGGTGGGAGCCAACTACCACCCTAAATTCACTGAAGTCGGTTAAAAAATGTAATAAACAATAACTGGGTTTCTCCAAAGCTTCCTTACTATAGGAATAAACATATAAGCCTCCCTTACAAGCCTGTTGTAAGGATTATTGCGACACTTTGAGCACTTAAGAGGAAAGCACTGTATAAAATCTGTCTGATTATATATTTTTATTTTAGTCAGGGAAAGATTTGTTGTTTATTCCTAAAACATTATTTTATTTATAATATGGTTTTAAATTTTTATCTCATTTACTTCAATGCTTAGAACTTCTTATAAATTTAATGCAAGACGGGCAGAAGTCCAATAAAGATAGATGAGTATTGCAGTTCCCCTTCTATCTTCCTCCTCATTTGTTTTACTTAGATAGGAAAGACTGAAGCTCTGTCCCTCCTACTGACAGAAAAACTGAGAGATAAAAGGGGATTTAAATGCCTAGCAAGTCAATTGATTTGGGTGTTCCCAGCTGCTGGGAATATAAATAGAGCTAAAGGACTAGAAAATGATAAATTGCTACATTTCATTTGCTATATTTTTCAGGTAAGAATTTTTTTTTAGGGCTGTTTTCCAATTTCTGAGCCAAATCTCTCCTTTGGGTGCTCTAAAAGTGAGCTAAGCTTTGCTACTTAGGAGAGGAGCCCCTCCCCGCATCTGCATCTGAAGGCTCCCATAATTTGGCTCAGTCATGGGCTCTCCATGGGGTGGGGGTAAGTGTGTAGGCACAAAGAAAGGTCCCAAGAACCAAGATTACACGTTAAGGGCTTATTGGGGGTGCATGTGTGTGTGTAGAGAGAGAGATTCTGAAAAGAACACTCAGTTTTCACATGGATTGTTTAGAATTTCTGATGAAACTGCAGAAATGTCAATGCAGAGTAGGAACAGCCAATCAGAAAGCAGCTCTTTGACCTTTGCCCTTCTCTTCCTCAGCAGGACTGCTATTATCTTCAAGGGGGGAGAGCCCTCCTCGCCTCTTGTTATACCTTTTTTATGATCTAGGATTCTGAAGATAATAATGACTCCATGTTACATAAAACAGATACATTAATGTCACCAAGTCCCAAAAGTATGGAATCAACCCAACTCCTTCAGAAAGACTGGGGGGAGGGGAGTGATAGAAATTCAGAGAGCAGAGCCTTAATAAGGCCGAAAGAAGAGAGGTGCTGCCTTAGACCGCTTTTTCCTTCCTATTTGAAATGGGATATTTAAAGGGCCCTTTGGCTAAAGGAGATCAGAGTCTTGGCAAGATAACTGAGTATGACTGAATGCGCTGCCATCAAAGTGAACAAATCAAATGTGTGATTTTGATTCGTGCTGTAGAGTGTTAGCCTATTACACTCACTTGCTACAGCCCCAGCTGCTAATGGGGGAGAGGGGGAGGACATACCCAGGCACCCACCTTTCATCTGGGGGATGCTTCTACCCAGGCTTGGCTCTTTGGTGACACGGCTTGTTTGGCCTCAGTAGAGTGTAGATTGTGATCCAGCCCTCCCCACACTAGAAACCCATTGGCTTCTCATTTGTTGGATGTCTGAATCCTGGTTTCTGGGGTCACAAGTAGAAGAGAATATATGTTGTGGCAGCAGCAAATTCCACTAATATTTTTATGTGAGGAGCTAGTGCTGCCTCTTGATCCTGGCTGAGATAGAGTGCCTGATCGACCAGCAGTGTATTTTCCAATGTACCCTGCCATGCTACATCTTGAGAGGACAAAGGAAACGAGAAGCAGTCTTTGTGGTACTCCTGCATAAGGCCTGTTCCAGAGCCTGGAGATGACTTGTTCCTCTTGCCTTGTTTTTATGTACAAGTGTCTAAGAAGGAGCCCCCACCTGAAAGGCTCTTTTCCAACATAAATTCTGCTTAAGGGTCCTCCCTTTTGCATCTTAATTCAGTTATACTAAGCAGGTGGGAGTGTTATGTTCCATTCCTGTCTGAATTCCAAGCTAAATTCCAGAGTAGCTTTGGTCATCTTGATAGATGTCTTGAACAGGGAACTGGATAGTGGGAATGCAACCACCTTGATTTTACTTACTGCATCTCTCAGTGGCATTTGACACCATTGATGACCATGGTATCTTTCTGTCTGAACTGTCAAGCCTGGGCTTAGGAGGCATAGTATTATTATGTCTCTATTCCCTTCTTTAAGTTCAGTACCAAAACATAGTTCAGTACCCCGCCCCATTGCCTCTGGTTTGTGGAGTGCCACAGGGTCCATCTTATTTCTCCTATTCTTCAACATCTATATGAAGCTCCTAGGAGAACTCATCCATCAGATTGGGCTTCAGTGTCACCAATAGGCAGATGGCACACATCTCTACCTTTCTTTTCCACCTAAGAATCCCAGGGGAGGCTGTGGAACTCTTGAAGAGCTGTCTGAATGCACTGCTGAGATAAATATGGAAGAAAACACTGAAACTTAATATGGAAAAGACAGTGGTTCCATGGGTTGAGAAGTCAGCCAGTCTGGATAGTGATGTGAAACTGGTTATGGATATAGTTACATGAAAATGGGGAGGGGGGCAACTTGAATAAAAGATGGGGGGAGGTAAGCCCTGCCCCATTTAATCGATCACATGATGCAGTGCATGCACACAATTTGAATGGCAATGCTCATCAACTTTGGGGGTCTTGCCCCCTCAATTTTTGGGGGGGCAGAGCAAAGACCTCTCAGCCCCCAGGAGTTGGCTCCTATTCATGAAAATTGCATTGGTTACCAGTAAGTTTCTGTGCTCAATTTAAAGTGCTGACCAGGAATCCAGCTATCTAAAGTAGTACCATCATCCATATAATCCTGCCCATAAACTAATATCTGGGGTGTTTGTTAGCGGAGGGGTAGTACCTCTGGTGAGGGACACATTGTACTCCTTCTGTGGTAGTTTATATAGCTTTGGTCCCTAACCAGTACTCAAGTTTGACTTGTGACTGGCCTGCCAAACCAGGTGAGGATAGCCAGTATGTCTCAAACCCTTGATGAGTTAGGAATTTCCCCTGCATGTGAAGATCAGCTCTGGTGGGTTGAGCATACTAGACCAATAGTGGGTCCAACAATCAAGAAGGCAGCAACTGTACATGCTGTAGAGGAAAAAAACTGTACCCACTGCCTTGTGGGACATCTTTGGGAGAAGAAAAGGCTAAGGCAGAGCTTTCCAAAGTGTGTGTCATGACATGTTAGCGTGTCGGCTGCAGTGTGTAGGTGTGCCACGTGAATGCTCCCCATGCTCCTCCCAGGGCTGGAAAGGTATTAGATTAACTTCTAGTTTGCTAGCAAAACTGAATTACTGTGTCATGAAATGATGCATGTCTAAAAAGTGTGACACCAACATGAAAAGTTTGGAAAGCTCTGGGCTTAAGGAATAAACCCTACACAAATCTTGTATCCTCCTTCCAGCAACTCCTGCAGCCAAGCTGGTGCCAAATGTATTGCTCTGATTTTATTTGGACGACATCTGCAAGGCCAAGAGGGGGGTCTTTTCATCTGGGCAGCCCAGGACCTCCATATACACTGCCCAGTCTTGCTTCCTGGAGAGGTCACTTCAGTGCTGCAAGGGGCAGGCCTTGGTAATATGGTGCCCTGTGTGAGGTAAAAATTTGACACCCCCCACAGCCCTCACACTACTTTCCCAAAAGCTGAGTAAGCTTTTGTGAGTGCGCTGGCAGGGTCCTAGAGCCCTCCTGCCTCCTTCCCAAAGCTGGGCGAGCAATAACTAGGCTTTGGGAAGGAGGCAGGAAAGTGTTCTCTTGGCTCAGCACTCTGTGTGGGGAAACTAGTTGTGCTGCCCAAAATCCACCTCTGATGCTGCTAACGCAGAAAAACAACAACATTGGAGGCAGCAGTTATGAGTTACTGGTCCCTGCAGCCATAGCGATTTGGCTTTGCCTTCAGAGGCACTCTCCGTTGTTTCTCGAGACAGATGGATGACAACCAAACTAATATCTGTTTCAGTGGTCTTTCTTGAGAGCTTGCCATTAAGTTGACATATACAAGAGGAAGGGCTTCTCACTGGCTGTCCCCCAAATTAAGAACTTCTAACTGATATACATCTTGCTCCTTCACTACAAGCCTTTTGGCAGGCCTGAAATTC